CTTCTGCAATTCACATATTCTATCTACCTTTTAAAGATTTAAGGGTACTGGCCAGCATCCATAGCTGATAAGGACATTGGACATAACATCTGTCCTGTGCCATCAACACTTGTCTAATTCTCTCTGTAAAATAAAGATTTATAACACTTTCCTTTTGTGTTGTCTAAGGACTGCCTCTAGGAACACTGAAAATCCTGCTCAACATACAGGTGACATGGTGTATAACTCCTTCCCAGCCAGGGACCTTTCATGTCAAGCTCACAGAAGTGCTTAAAGTGCTCATGAAGCATTGCTCTTGCTTTTTAGATGTGAAAGGACTCAACACCATCACCCAAAGTTCCAGGCCACCTGCTAGAGTTTGGCATCTTCTGGACAGAAAAGCTACAGCTACTTCCAAGGAGATCACTGTAAAGAAACAATACAATTTCACATGTTTCATTTTATAATTTTTTACTTTAATTATGCTGCCAAGAAATAAATCAGGTCCTTTCTTAGACCCCACGTAGTCTCAAGGAGCATAGTATCCTAAGTCAAAATCACATCTTCCTGTAATGCTCTGTGTGGCCATTTTGAAACAGGGATTAGAGGAGAGATGGCATCAAAGGAGTTTTAGAATGGGCTTGAGTGGGAGAATAGGTAAGACAGTCTAGCTTACTCAATGGGAATATGTAATTCCCTACTGGATACATTTTTTGTGGTTATAAATCCTGAAAGAGAATTAAACAACAATGAGAAGAATCCCCAACAAGCCTTCTGTGGTTCCCAGGTTGGGATTAAGTGAGGAATAGACACATAAACCAGAATCTGACATTTCTGATTGTGGAGCTGGCGCTGTCCACCCAGCAACACTCCCTGAGCCAAAGCTCTAGCATCCAGATCAAACCCCACCTGGATCTTAAGGGCTGTCTTCAACAGGTGGGAACAGTTCAGCTGCTGCTCAGAGGACATTTCTTATTCTTCTTCACACCTCATTTGATCACATACTCTTCAAAACCACTCTTCCCTCTTTTCCATTCTCTCACCATCTTTGTTTCATTTTAAATATTCACAAAGATAAAAGACCAATCTTTAAAAGAAAAGGCATTTTCTGAGGCTCTATAAAATGAAGTAATTTAAAGCAAATTTGTATGAAATATAAATAGTAACTTATTCTCTTTATATACATTTTTCCAGATTTAAGAGATACATTGTTCTTTCCTCAAAAATAGGACAGAAAGGAAAAGAAGGCTTTAGTTTGCTGGCAATAAATATCTGGTCTTGTTTCAGGAAATCATAGCTTTCTGCACATCTTAGTAAAATGATTTTCTATTTAAAAAGTACCTTTCATGTGGCCTTTTCAAAACAAGTTACCTGTGTTGGCTCAGGAGGATTACTGGATGACAAATAAGGTATTGTTTTTGTTAAGTCAGTTTTAGCTAGTGCATGATACACATCCATTTCAAAATATCTTTGATGAGAATAGGCACCTACAGGGACTCTTTTATATTGAAAAGTTCCCATTTTCAAATAATGCCACGTGTACAGTTTCTGGGGGTGAGGACTTCACGTGGCTTCTGTACAACACAATCCAACACACAGCAGTAGCACCAGCCTATGTATAGTGAGTGTGAGGCCACAGAGATCCACATTGTTAGATCTTTATTTTGCCACTGTATCTATAGTCCTGTGGTCTGGCATATGCTTTTGCCTTTTTGGAAAGGAGGCATTGTTCTGAATCTTATTCAGCTTCAGAAGGGAAAGACAGACAAAAGTAAGCTTGGGTCTTGCAGTCACTGCCAGCAGTGGCTGCTCCTCCGTTCTCACAGGCGTCAAGGCTGCTCCTCCACTCGCCCTGGGCTGAGGCCGCTCTTCTGCTTGCCTGGTGCTGAGGCAACTCTTTTGTTTGCCCTGCGCTGCCTCCTCTCATCGCTGCTTCTGCCCGGTCCCAGTCCCCAGGGCTGGTGAGGAGACTGTGTCAGCGGAGCCGCATTCAGACACAGGAGACCAGGTTCAGTGACACAGGTCTGGTTTATTGCAGGAAGGCACAAGCTTATATAGGGGTAGTGGTCCAATCACAGCACAGCAAGTAGGATACTCCATTAGCACAACAGGTTTAGTGTCCTATCACAGTATGGCAAGTAGGATATCTTGTTAGCATAACAGACTTAGCATCCTATTAGCATAACAGACTTAACGTCCTATCACAGAATAGCGGGTAGGATGCCTCATCAGCATGCTGGGTTTCAGATTACAGAGCCTGGATTCCTGGAAGCTACATGACCCTGACAGTTGCAATATCACCCTAGGCTCAAGTCTGTCTCCCATAGGGTCTGTCCAGTATTTCTTTATCACAGCACAGCTTTTGGACTAATGATACAGATGTAGCGCATGTTTTAGCTAACTAGGTGAAAATCAGAACAGAATTTTGGTTTTCTTAAACATTGCAATTGCAGCATTGCCTCTACCTTCTTCTCTCTCTGTAATACTTTCTAAATCCCCTGTATCCAAACCAGACTTCAGTCAGTTTTCAAAATTATCATTATTAGTTTTCAGGATTTCTGCTCTCCACTGTAATTCTAACTAATTTTAGATTGGCCATCATCATATTAATTGATAATCCTGCTGTGATTTCAAATTTGAAATATTTTCATTTACTTTGTCTCTCACAAGTACAAAGTACTGTAAATTCTAAAGATAAACATGACAATGCTTGGAGAAAACAGTATAGAAGAGAAGCAAGATATGCAGACACCTTGGTCTTTGCTGAAATTCCAGCAGTAACACTTCCCAGCTTAACAAGTTGCCCTGTGAGTCACTTTTCTCATATCAGTTTAACCACATGCAAAATGGGAAAAATGATGTAAGGAAAAGACATACTTTGGCTTTAAATGATGGGTCTTTTAGTGTTATGTTTGTCATACTTATGTTTAAATATATTCTTGGTATAATTTTCATTGTTTTGTTTAATTGTAATTTAAGATAGCCAAAAATATAATGGGAGCTCCCAGAAGAGCTTTTGTGTATGTTTTACTTTTATTGCATATTGGGGACAAGTTACCTGACCTGAGTACTTACAGGGATTGGAATTGTCTGTTTGGCTCACAGTCTCAGAGTAGTCAGCCCATGGTCACTTGGCTCTGTGCTTCTGGACCCACAGTAAGGCAGAGCAATATGACAGGATGGTGCTCTTCACACCTGGCAGACAGGAAGCAGAGAGAAGAGGCAATCAGGACCAAGTGTGAGCCTTCAAAGTCAGCATCTGTTTAGCAATGTCCTTCAGCTAGGCCACACCTCACAAAATAGGGGACCAAATATTCACCACACAAGCCTATCCAAGACAGTTCATATTCACACCATAACAATGTAGCCTGAGAAAATTGTTAAAGTATCAGAATAATAAAACACATATATGGATTTCATTAGGATAATTTAATTTTGTCAGTCGATTACATATTATTGGATTTTTCTTTGAATCTATTAATATTTTGTTCACAGAATATTAATTTTTCACATATTTTGGAAGTTAAATCAGTCACAAAATGAAACCAGCAAAGTGTCTGTCAGCCATCAGTACAAAACTGGCAAGTGTTCCAGAATTACCGCATAAAAGAGAATTACTTAATTCATTACCTAAGCCAAAAGAAAAACGTGGTGCTAAACCAATACAAGATAAAATTGAACCAATGGTCCTAAGATCTCCACCCATTGGAGAATCCATTTTACAGTATGACTTGCCAATACCATCAAATAAAACACAGGAGTTCATATCAGAAAGTGAAATGATCAGGAAGATAACCCAATACCTGAAGATGGTAAGCTACTTGTTGACTCCGGTGTTGGGTGGGTACCCCTAAGATGCCCACAGGTATGGGGATTTGCCATCAAGAAGCAAGAGAATCAGCTTTTGTTATGATGAACTCAGTATACAGTTCTGCCAGTGGTAAGATTTATTGCATCCTGCTTGCAGAGGGAGATCAAGAGTAAACCAGAACCAAGACTACAAGAGCATTCTCTGACTGTAATCATACAGAGGATGTTTAGTTCTTACGTTAATCATGACAGCACAAGTAGAATGTGTATTGGGAAAATCATTAGAAACAGTACCCAGAGTTGTATTGAGGGATCGTCACTTAAGTTCACCTAAGGTCACCTGAGGACTATCTGTCTAGTGCACACCAAAATTCCAAACTCCCAAACAAAGCAGGTGTTCAGTATAAGCCACATTGTCTGTACAAACAACTTATGTATATAAGCCACTCTGACTAACTTCCCGAAAGCCAGCTTCTCAGCTGCCAGGCTAAGGCCAACTTTGCAGTCAGGACTTTGTAAGGATAGACCTTTCAAAATCTCAAGCCTACTATGGTAACTCTTTTATTTTTTTTAATTTTATTGAGCTTTTGTACATTTCACACAACAGTTCTTAACCAAATTTAGACCCCCTCAACCCCTCACCGGACCTCACATATTCCACCATACCTGCTAAGTCCTATCCAGTCAAGCATTTGTATGTGGATGTCGTTTGGTGCATATTCGTTCACTGGAGTCTAATCAGCCTATTTAGAGATCGTTGGTAAGGCCTACTCTCCCTCACCCAGTAGTAATCAGTCTCCAACAGTTCTCAGATTAGGGGTTCATGTACCAGCCCTGGCTCTTAGAATCTTTCTGCGCCCTCTCCCGCGATGGTCCCTGAGCTGTCGGTAGGAGAGTTTTCATATAGGAATCCTATCCAGGGACACACACTCTGCAGTCTCTCATTCTTTAAAACTTGGCCAGCTGTCCCTTCTGTGCACACCCTACTCTGTTGTATAAGGAAGCTTCACTGGTGAGAGTTGAGGGATGCACTAGTTTTCTCTCTAGTCCTTGTTCTAGTATGTTGCATGAGCTTTAGGTGTTCAATTGTAGATGTGTCACCTAGGACTTAGCATCTTTCAGACGTATATTCTCTGTGTCTGACCAGTTGTGGGATTCTGCAGTAGCCTTTATCTAGTGCAAAAAGAAGCTTCTTTGGTGAGTGGTGTGTGGTATACTTGGCTGTAAATATAAGGATCCATATTTAGCATATGGTAAAAAATTTCATTTCTCTACAGATCTGACAGAGATGGGGTTTTCTCTAGGATCTATGACCTCTCCAGTCTTGTTTATTTGGCTGTGTTTTTACAGTGCCACCTTTGAGTTCACTCCCACTGAGTGGGCTTTAAGTTTAATTAGATAGCTGTTGTTTAACCCCCAGATAACAGTGCCACTACTACACCAGTAGAGGTAGTTTGCTGCCCTGGTCGTTATGGTTATTAGACTTTAGGGCTGGGTTAGACCACTGATTTTTCTCTTAGCAGCTTGCCTAGTATCCTCTAGAACTATGAGATACTAAACTTCACGTAGAAGGCTTCCAGGTCAGTTCCTGCTCCATTGCTCCAAGTCCTGTATCTGAAATATGTCCTGTCTTCAGCTGTAGGGTCTTATCTTCCAGTTCTGGGAGCTAACCAAGAGCTCTGGCAATAACCTGTGCTATTTTGGGAGTCTCTTGGACCATTCACACCAACTATTCCAAGGGAGGTTTCTCTTGCCTGGCACTGTGTTCCTCTCCATACAGCCCCCATACATACATATGCACTAATGTTCAGAATATACATATGCACTAATGTTCTGATACTATATATGCATTTCTCAGGGTTTCAGAGGTGGCATATTTCCCACTAGCTTCCCTAGTCCTCCAAGATCCATTAATTTCTACTCTCCCTCCCATTTGATCTCCCTCCTCCCTCCCCAGTTCAAGCACCCCTATTATTCCTGCCCTTCCCCCAATAACACTGGCCTCTCACCCCCACCTGAATTCCCTCCTCCCCCATCAACACTCCCTGCAAGTTTCTTCCTCTTCCCTTCCCAGTCAAACACTCCCCCCACTTTCCTAACCTCCCCTCACCCTGTAACATCTGTTCCCTACAGTCCTCCACATTTGGGTTCTTTCTTTTTCTTTACCTCTGTGTTTCATTTCCATTTTCCTGGCTCCTAGAGTTACATCAGGATATATACTCACATGTAAGGGACTGATGCTACATACTTCACTTGCTTTTCTGCATTTGTGTTACTTCACTTATTATAACAGTCTCTAGTTCCATCCATTTACCTGCAAATTAGATAATTTCATCTTTTCTTACTGCTAAGTAGAACTCCATTTTGTAAATGTGCCACATTTTCATTATCAGTTCGTCAGCTGAGGAACATTTATGTTGGTTCCATTTCTTAGCAATTGTGAAAGAGCACCAACAAACATGGTTGTACAGGTATCTCTACAGTAGGATGAGTCCTTTGAATATATGCCAAGGAGTAGTATAACTGGATCATATGGTAGATTCATTTTTAGTTTTTGGAGCATTCTCCACACTACTTTCCATAGTGGTCAACTGAGTTTGCATTCCCACTGGCAGTGAATAAGCATTCCCCTTTCTCCACATCCTTGCCAGCATTTGGTGGCTTTTGTTCTCTTGATCTTAATCAATCTGATCCCCCTACTATGGTAACTCTTTGTCTGTACTTCAGAAACTATAGCATTTAATGTTTGAAAAACCTTCCATGTCAAAGTTTCTTTTTACATAATGTTTGACTGTTGAATTGTAAATATTAAGTGAGAACACTCAGGAAGTCCACTGATATAGACAGATCATAGTTCATCCTACTACTAAAATACCCGTTTGGTCCACGTTTGTTATTTCAGAGAATGTTATGTAAAAATGGATTGCCTTCTGGTCTTCATCACTCTATTTTCTGTACACCCTTCAGAGGAGAATCAGACAGATACACTGAGGAGAACTCTGCTTAATGTTTCAGCCATGCATGGATGCACCTGTCATCTTTAGGTACTTGTCCACACAGGAAGGATGCCTTGGAACATCTCTGCAGTGCAGGAGCAGGACCAAACACCATTGACTAGATCGTCTTCATGATGATACGTGATGGACGTTTATGCCACTGGCAGGAATCAATTGATTTTTATAAAGTCATGGTGTGGTTGGTTTTACATTTTTGACTTTGAGAATATTCAATTTGTTTTAAACTTTTTTAATATAGGTTGTTTCTACTTTGAAAAATACCTTTGGAGATATTGACAATGATGGAGAGAAAGCATCACTGAAAGTTGATGAGGAAGGCATATCTTTATTAGTACACAGATATGACACTAGTGGGGAGAAATTAAATGCTGGAAACAGTTAAGTTTTGCCTCTAGAGTCCATATGTCCTATCATAATGAATAACCTATCCAGTACCAACAAGTAAACCACAAAGTCACATAAAATTTACAAAAAGAAGCAGACCTAAACATGAAGGCTTGAGTCTCACACAAGAATCAAAAACTACAAAAGAAATTCACATGTCAAAGTCACAAATTCGCATGTCAAAGTCACAAAATAACATGATAAACCAAAATAATATACCCCTACCAAATACCAATAGTCCTCTAGAGGAGTACAATGAGAACCCTCTAGAGATAATGCAGGACACGGAACTCAAAAGAACAGTTATAAACATGATAAAAGAATTCAGCGAATTTAAAGAACACACAAATCAAAAAACTGAAGGAAGATAGGGATAAACTTTTGAATGAATTCAGAAAAGAGTTAGAAATATTGAAGACTACTCAGGCTAAATGAAGAAGGAAGTGAAATAGTCAGCAAGCCAATTAGAAATGACAGGAGAAAGCCTCACCAATAGGATGAATGAAATGGAAAACAGAATATCAAGACTGGAAGATAAAGTGGACAAACTAGACCACTCAAGCAAAGATTATGAAAAATTTAAGAAAACACAAGAATGGAATATGCAGGAATTGTGTGATACCATAAATAAACCAAACTTAAGAATCATAGGCATACAGGAAGGAAAAGAAACTCGAGATAATGGTATGGACCAGATCTTCAACAGAATCGTGGAAGAAAATTTCCCCAAATTAAAGAAAGACATGTCCATACAAATACAAGAAGCACATAAAACACCAAATAGACAGGATGAAAAAAGAAACTCTCCACAGCACATCATAGTAAAAACACTAAACATACTGAACAAAGAGACAATACTGAAAGCTGCAGAAGCAAAACAAGTCATATATAAAGGAAAACCCACCAGGATTACAGCTGACTTTTCAGTGCAAACTATGAAAGCCAGAAGAGCCTGGACCAATGTATTCCCAGTTTTAAATGACCACAGATGCCAACCCAGATTAGTATACCTGGCCAAAATGTCTATTGTAGTTGAAGGGGAAAGAAAAATCTTCCATGACATAAATAGGCTGAAAGAATTCATGTCCACAAAACCAGTCATTCAGAGAGTTCTTGAAGCAATACAAAGAGTTGAAGAAAGGAATAACTATACCCAAGGGGTTGCAGAAAGAAATTCAATGAAGGTATAACTGTGGAAAAGCACAGCTATGTCAAGTATGTAAACAGAAATAAAAATTACAAAATTCAATACACATCTTTCATTAACAGCTTTAAATATCAGTGGACTGAACTCCCCAGTCAAAAGATA